TGCAGCCCTCGGTGACAAACGTACTGCTGATCGTAGCCGGTGCGGTGGGGGTGGTGACACACTACATCATGCCCCGTAGAGTTATTCCTGACGTTATGTTTCACTCTTGTTGTTTCTGCAGCCCTCGGTGACAAACGTACTGCTGATCGTAGCCGGTGCGGTGGGGGTGGTGACACACTACATCATGCCCCGTAGAGTTATTCCTGACGTTATGTTTCACTCCTGACTCTTGTTGTTTCTGCAGCCCTCGGTGACAAACGTACTGCTGATTGTAGCCGGTGCGGTGGGGGTGGTGACACACTACATCATGCCCCAGTTCAGGAAACAGCTGCCTTGGCTCTGCTTCGCACACCCGCTGCTCAAGACTCACGAGTACCACCAGTTTGAAGTGCGAGGTGAGAGAAAAAACATGGCGATTGATTTGATTTGATTTATTGAAATTGCAACAGTGCAATACACGCGGAACAGAGGCAGCTGTTGCTGGTGTTGTGTTCCGCACATAGAAACAAATACTGGACAGACAATACTCATTTTCACTTGAGTCTAGTAGGGAGAGTCGTGTTAAGTGCCTTTTCCAAGGGCACAAGATCAGTGGCATGTCAGGACTTGAACCCGGGACCTCTTGATTCCGAGTCGTGCACGCTGTCGTTGCGCCACACGACCAAACATCATTATCGGGAGAATAATGTCTACTCAATTTCTTTGCAAACATCACCATGTAAAATGAATTACACAATGTCATATTGTTCTTAAGATGTACACTGGTATAGAAGAACATTAAAGACTGCCCTCACCAGACAGATTTTACCTGCACCACTCGGCATTTAGGAACTATGGATTATACTGAAAACTGTTCCTAAAACATTGCCACTATTTTTTAATACTTAATAGGCGGTCACAGTCAATAGAATCTAATGAAAATCCACATACACAATTTGTATATAAACCCAGTACTGGTTCAGGTTACCGGGTAAGTGCAGGTAGACATCAGAAATACCTGCACAGCTGCAATTTTACCTGCACTAGCCTGCATATACCCAGTACATGGACCAGTGCAGGTTAGGTGCAGGTAGACATCAGAAATACCTGCACAGCTGCAATTTTACCTGCACTAACCTGCATATACCCAGTACATGGACCAGTGCAGGTTAGGTGCAGGTAGACATCAGAAATACCTGCACAGCTGCAATTTTACCTGCACTAACCTGCATATACCCAGTACATGTACATGTACCAGTGCAGGTTAAGTGCAGGTAGACATCAGAAATACCAGCACAGCTACCATTTTACCTGGACCACTTCTAACCAGTTCCCCTGTGTCTCCTTGTTTCCCCAGACTGTGCCCGTGTGATGTGGTTTGAGAAGTTGTACGTGTGGCTGAGGTTTGTGGAGAGGAACGTCGTCTACCCGCTCCTGTTCCTCTCCACACTCACCAAGGACGCGCCCGTCCTCGTCAGGAACTTTGGGCCGTAGTAAGGAACACCATTTCATTCCTTTCTCACAGATTTAAGATTTTAACTAAGATTTAAGCATTTGTCACAGATTTAGCAGGGATTGTAAGAGTCGCCCTTTGTCTTTGGTTTCTCATGAATTCACAGTGACTGTCTCAAATGGCTATAGGACTACCTTTACCTGTACTTAGTCCTGATGTGTCTGGGTTTTTTTTCTGTTGTTCTCTTTATTTGAGTTTTTGAAATAAATGAACAAGAAAAGCATCGCAAATTTTAATGGACACATTGTAGTGCCACCTTCAATAACACACTTAAAAACAGAAAAACACAAAAATCAAAACCTAAAACCAGGGAACACAAGGTTTTTTGGACAGAACTTTTAACAATAACCCCCATTAATTGTCCTGATGTTGTCAGCATGAAAGTTCATCTGAGTTGGTAAATTACATTATGAAAAACTTAATACAAAATTTGACTCACCAGAAATTTTCGACTGAATCACTCAGTCTTCCTCAGCTATCTGACCCAAATGCTGTGGACACATGATTTTTCCATATACAAGAGGCCATATACATCAGGGCACTTCAACCATCACTCAACCGGACGGGGGGCGATATCGACTTCAGACAACCTTTGACCCTTTGCTGACGTCACACGTGGGAAAAATCACGTGTCCACAGCATTTGGGTCAGATAGCTGAGGAAGACTGAGTGATTCAGTCGAAAATTTCTGGTGAGTCAAATTTTGAGTTGGAGAAAAGTTTAAGTTTTTCATAGTCCTGCTGTTGTGTTTGTTCAGCCTGGGGTCGGCCGTGGTGAGCCTGTGTGGACTAAAGCTGCTGAGAGGGTCCTTCTCCAACACCCTCCACCAACACGTCATCCTCATCTTCACATACTTCTTCTTCCACTACGACTTCCCACACGCCTCCGAAACCTTCCTCATCGACTTCTACTGCATGTCCATTCTCTTCAGTAAGGTACGTAAATAGACTTCTACTGTCTTCAGTAAGGTACTTATTCTTAGTATATAGACTTCTACTGCATGTCTATTCTCTTCAGCAAGGTACGTATTCTTACATAGACAAGTACTGCATGTCCATTCTCTTCAGTAAGGTACGTATTCTTACATAGACAACTACTGCATGTCCATTCTCTTCAGTAAGGTACGTATTCTTACATAGACAACTACTGCATGTCCATTCTCTTCGGTAAGGTACGTATTCTTACATAGACAACTACTGCATGTCCATTCTCTTCAGTAAGGTACGTATTCTTACATAGACAACTACTGCATGTCCATTCTCTTCGGTAAGGTACGTATTCTTACATAGACAACTACTGCATGTCCATTCTCTTCAGTAAGGTACGTATTCTTACATAGACAACTACTGCATGTCCATTCTCTTCAGTAAGGTACATATTCTTAAGTTACATAGACAACTACTGCATGTCCATTCTCTTCAGTAAGGTACATATTTTTACAAAAAAGTAAAAGTTTCTGGTAATCCTTACTTCGACATTTTTGGTAGGAAATCATAGATAGTACTGTAAGTAGTAGTCATAGATTGCATGAACAAAAATTTAGAACACTTTGACTTTAAAAAGGTATGGTGTTTCATTCAATCTTCTCTACAACTTGAGATATAACAGGTACTTTGAAAAGGAATTTTTTCAAAGTTTTCCCTGACACCCTAAAGTGAACTATTTTCATGTGACATCAAGTTCACATCATCAGTGTCCAACTGACCTTGCTTTCTTGCCTTTTTCCCAGCTGTATGACTTCCTGTTGAAGCTGAGGTTTGTGCTGACGTACATCGCCCCCTGGCAGATTACATGGGGAAGTGCATTCCACGCATTCGCACAGCCTTTCTCTGTACCACGTATCCTTCATGATGTGCTGTTAAGCAGTTTCTGTGATGTTACTGTTGTGTACCTTTGCAGAAGGAATACACATTGTTTCTTCAATATATTTTTTCTGCAGTGTCTTCTTCCTCTTCTTTAAGCAAAATTAATGATTATTTAAATCAATGACTTGGACCAAATGTCTGTCACCATGGTAACTGGTGCTGTAGCAGACACCCTGTGGTGGTAGATTACATTATGTAGCAAGTGGCAGGACAGAGTCAAAGGGTCTGGAAACCATATACTAGTACATGTATATGAAATTCAAAGTGTTTTAGTAAGAACAAATACAGTTCAGTAGTTTTTTAGGCTAGACTACACTATATGTGAAGGTAAACATTATGCATTTGCTTTTTACAAATGGCACCTTTCTAGTTAACCAGTACAAAATTAATACATATTGTACATGTGTGGTACCACCAGGCAGATTCAAGAAAGAAAAGATTTCTGCACAATCTTACCACTATTGAAAGGTTGACAGCCTTGACCCCCCGTCCCCCAGATTCCGCCATGTTGTTTGTGCAAGCCGCGGTGTCTGCGTTCTTCCAGGCGCCGCTCAACCCTTTCCTCGGCAGTGCAATATTCATCACCTCCTACGCCAGGCCAACCAAGTTCTGGGAGAGGGACTACAAGTCAGTTTGTCTGTTATTAGTGACAATACTACAACTACATTGTACTCTTCCTGTAGTCCTCTTACATACATTGTAAAATACAAATATTATATCTACATTCACTTCTGGCTACTTTGAATAAAAAATGCCAGGTCAACCAAGTTCTGGGAGAGGGACTACAAGTCAGTTCTCTCAATTCCTTATACTTTATAGCCTTTGATAAACCAACTTCAACTAAATCATACAGCCTCCTATATTTCCTATGTATGATTGTCAGCATGTGACCTGTACTTAGCCCAGTGGGGCAAAAATGTACAATAAAGGTCTTCATTCATTCATTCATTGATCTGTTCCAAATGTGTTGATGGTTACAACTTGATTTTACATGGAGGCATAATCAGTTTCAATGTTACTTTGGTCAGTTGCTTTCTAGACTCGAGGCATAGCAGTTGCACATACTGATTGTATTATTCTGATTAAAACAGAATACGTGCATGTGCTACTGTTAACCAGCCCCTTCCAATCTGTGAAAACAAAGAAAAAGAGATTGAAATAAAAACTATTACAACTTTTGACTTATGCAATTATTGTGTTTCTGTTTTGCAGTACAAAAAGAGTGGACCATTCCAACACAAGACTTTCCACCCATCTAGAGAGAAACCCAGGTATGTGCAGTTAGAGTGTGTGTGAATGTGTTTGAGTAAGAATGAACAGAGCAGTACATGTAGTTTGTTAGTCTAGAGTGACCATGTGAAAGTAAACATAATGCATTTATTTTGCAAATGTCAAGTTTCTAGTTTCACTTAAACTGTCCTCCTCTCCAAGCTTGCATTAAAGATGTCCCCATGTACATGAATTCCCAGGATCAGATGACAACAATTTTACTTCATGCTACCTCCTAAGATTGTATTCTGTTTATCATGCGCTCCCTTGGAAATCAGCCCTTTTCTGTGTACCTTAGCCACACCAATTTAATTTCTTGGTTAACGGATTCGCCGCTTCATTTTTTTCTGATTTGCAAATAAAAATAAAAATTCAGAATGCTCATATTTTGCCCTGAACAGTTGAAAACAGTTTTCTTACTACTTGTTACAGTCATTCCATCTTTCAATGCAGTAGTATCATTAAAAGTTCAAAATTCATTGTCAAAATTTTGAACCAGCCTGGTGTGTTGACTTCATGGCTCCTATTGTACCATTTTGGGCCATAATAGGCCTGTTTTTATTTTTTTCGCCCGCCCGCTCCATTATTTTTCTAGAATAATCCGTTAGCTAAGAAATTAAATTGGTGTGGCCTTAGATCAATAAATAGATAAATCTCCCCATGTATCCCCAGGATCAGACGACAACAACCTGAACTCCATCTTCTACGAGCACCTGACGCGGTCGCTGCAGCACTCTCTCTGCGGAGACCTGATCCTGGGGCGCTGGGGGAACGTGGCGGCCGGCGACTGCTTCGTGCTGGCGTCGGACTACCTGAACTGCCTGGTGCACGTCATCGAGATGGGCAACGGCCTCGCTACCTTCCAGATGAGGGGACTCGAGTTCAGGGGTAGGTTTAACAGCACGTCGGCAGAACGTACTGCGCCTGCGCAGAACCCTGGATTTTCACGGTTTTCGTTGGATTTTTGGTCAACGTTGCATCAGAATTTTGCCTGCTGCAGATGATATCTTTTACGACATAACATTTGAAAACTACTGTCGGAATGCTAACCTTATATGAGCAAATACAACCTTATATGAGATGTTCTGCCCAAGTGCTATGTACAATACATTACGGGTTTTGTGCAGGTGCAGTACGTTCTGCCGACGTGCTAGTGTAGGTTTAACTCTTGTTAAGTCACGGGCAGCTCAAATCTGCAGGCCTCACAGATGACAGGCCTCGAGTTCAGGGGTTGTTTTTTTTAACCGTAGTTTATTCATGGGAAGCTCAAATCTTAAGTCTGCCTTACGTTGAGGTCATGAGGAAATGGGTAAGAATCAGGCTGTTTACACAAAATATTAATTAATACACAAATATGTCTTGGAGGGAGAAGTCATGTTTCAAAACTTAACCCTATCTAGACCGGGGGGGGGCTAAAAGTGCCCGCGCCAACTTTGATGTCACATAGCGTCTGAATGGCTAGGGCTAGAATGACCAAACTTGGTGACTTTTCCTAAAATATTGTTGGCAACAATTTTCTATCATTGGAATAAGATAATAATTTTTTGTGTTGCCATGGCAACGGGTTTCTGACAGGCATTTTTTGCTAAATTTAGTAATTTTTGTTTCAAGAATAGAATTTTATGGGTTTTATGTCAAGTTACTCATGGTTTCTAATATTAATAACATCCCATATGAATTTATGTAAATTTTATCATTAAATATGCATAATTTATGCTAATTTGATGACGTCATTGGCCAAAATCCAAGATGGCGGACCATATCATTAGAACAGGTATATACAAGTTATTTTCCTTAAAATTTCATCAATACTTCCATTTCTTTTTCCAAAAAAGGTTTAAATGAAGGTCTTTGGTATGTTTACAATGTATTTTAGGCTTTATCACGAAAAAAAACTATTTTTGAAAATTCAACATTGATGATCCAAGATGGCGGATATCTTAAATATGTATGACGTCAATGGGCAACATAAGACTTAGTACACTCTAATATTCTGTCATAAACACTTTTGGTAAAGTTATGTTGAATACCATTTAGTTTTCAGGGAATAGCCTATCTAGACGGTTTTGGCCAATAAAATCCCATTAATGACGTCATAATGACGTCATATTACGTCATAATGACATCAAAATTGTAGATATGATAAATTTTAACTAGTACACCATCCTCTGAAAATTTGGTAGCCATACGACATACCGTTAGCGAGTTCTGAGGGGGGGCCGAAAGACGCCCCCCCCCCCCCCCCGGTCCAAATCTTGCTCAAAAAAGCCCGGTCTAGATAGGGTTAAATTTAAGGTAATTAGATTTAAGGTCTCCAGTGGACGTCATCCATAGCAATTACTTGGTGTGGTCGTAGAAAATA